TTTTTTGTTCTAAAGCTTGTAGTTTTTTGGTCATATTTGTAGTTTTTTTGTTCTAAAGCTTGTAGTTTTTTGGTCATTTGTAGTTTTTTTGTTCTAAAGCTTGTAGTTTTTTGGTCATTTGTAGTTTTTTTGTTCTAAAGCTTGTAGTTTTTTGGTCATATTTGTAGTTTATTTGACCCTGATGTATGTTGTTTTTGGTTTGGATATTTGCAGTTTTTGGTCTTGATATTTAAAGTTTTTTATCAAGATATTCATAGTTTTTAGTTCTGATATTTAAAAATATATATTTTCTGGTCCTGGGATTTTTAGTTTTTGTCTTGATAATTCTAGTTATTTATATATTTATTTATTTTTGTCATGATAGTCCTAGATTTAATTTATGTTTTCTCTAGTTTTTGTCTTGGTATTGGTAGTTTTTGTCTCTGGCTGCACCCGAGTCTTGAACACCCTTAATATATTTTGTGTTCCAGCTTCTAAATTTACACACCATTTGTACCTGTCTCTCCAGGTGAGCCCTGGGCTCCACACTGAGTGCTAACCATGCTGCAGCAGACCGACGCGACCTCCAGCACTCTGCAGCTGGTAGCGACGGACATGACTGGGATCATGGAGAAGCTGGACACGAGTGAGCTGGACCTGGGCGATCATGAGTACGACATGAACGATGGGGCCAAGCCGGGTATCCGACGTCTCTTTGATGCTTTTTTTTTTTGTTTGTTTTAGACCAATACCTCACCGGGCTGTGACTGTTGAAGTGTTTAGACCCTGAATGACTGTGACGATTCTCTGAACACCTTGAACCTTCTCGTGACACAACACTGAACCTCTCAGACTCGTATTAAGAAACTTTGACCTCGTTACAAACAGTCTGAGACATTTTAGAGACCAGTGAGATTAACTGTAGCTGTGCGTTTATAAAGCTTTATGTTTTTCCTGCAGGGGATCGGTTGCCTTTTTCACAGATCTACCACCTGGTGGGTTTCAAGGATCCCAAGGCAAAGGTTTTCTTGTCCTCTCCAATTACAGCCAAAATCATGGAAGTGGAGCGGTTCACCTTAGCTCAGGACCGCTTCAACAAAACCACGCAACGGAGCATCAACAAGGTGAGCCGGTTGGGTCGGGGTGATTTGTTCTGGGCTTCATGAGCTGAAGTGTTGGCTAACCGGAGCTTCTGCCGCAGTCGATGCCGTGTCTGTATAAGATCGAGCTGAAGCACGGGGAGTTCACGTGGGTGGTGAAGAAGAAGGAGAAACACTTTGGGGAGCTCCACAGAGAGATGCGGACCTATAAGACCCTTCTGAAGCTGCCGCTGCCCTCACGCAGGTAAAAACGTATTTTTTCTGGAACTCTGACGAAGAACCTTCTCACCCGTCGTTCTCCTCACGCCCTGCAGTCACACGGTGAGGAGGAAGACTGTGATGAGGAACGAGGCGATGCCGGTCCTCCCTCGAGAAGGAGGAGGAGAAGAGCTGGACAGAGAGGAGCGAGTCTCCAGCCGCAGGGTTCGTCCTCCGACAGCGATGAGCTCAGATTCGATCCTTCTGTGCGTTAATTTTTTGTGTTCTGCTGCAGAAACAACTGGAGGATTACTTGAACAAGCTGCTTCGAATGCCAATGTACCGGAACCACCACGCAACGGTAAGAAGTTGTGGTAAACCGGACCAGGGAGTTTTTCATAAGTCAACAGTCGGGGTTTCGTTACAGCTGATTTCATAATCATGGTCTCAGATTTGATCCTCGTGCCTGAAATGCCCCAAAGAAAACCGTCTCTGTGCAAAGAACTACGAATCAAACTAACCCGGGAATAGAAGGTTCTGATGGCCACATGTTGAGTTAGATGGTTCTGCAGGGTTTTATGGGTAGATATATGGCAAGTTTCAAAGAGCCTTCAGCTCCTGTTTTAAAGAGAACACTCTGAGCTCGGATACAATGGAAGTCAATGAGTTTGGGTGTGTGACCTCTGACCTCTGAGAGAAAACCATCAGTCCTACAGACAGAGAGACACTGGGTGGAAAAAAGACAAAAAATACGTCTAATTGACTCGATAAACATGAACATTTTGTGTTAAAATATTTAAGAAATCCTCTGTATTAAGCTGTGATTGTAAACGAAGTGTTAAAGATGTGACAACAGCAGTTTAGTCATTAGATACCATGGTCGTCTATGGGGAAAAGGTTCTCAGATTTGTGTGAATTTCATCGATGTCTAAAGACATGTAACTACCAAAAGTTGGCGCACGCTTTCTCTGATTGAGCCGCACATTTTGATGATTTTGTACAGACTCAAACTCATTGGGAAGTTTGATGTGATGAAAAAACCCACAAGTAGAGTGAAATATTTGTCCCTGATTTCCAAACCTGCGAAAAGGACTTCTTACAAATGCACTCGGTACTGCTTATTTGTTGTTTACTGTTTTTTTTGCTTAAAATAATTGTTTTTTTTTCCAGATGGAGTTCATTGAAGTCAGCCAGATATCCTTCATCCACGACCTGGGACCAAAAGGCTTGTAAGAAACCCAGTTTCTCAGATATTAAGTCTTTAAATCGAAACACAAGTTTATTATTTAAAACATTAAAACAATAGCTTCTTTGGTTTATAATCTGCAAATTAGTCTAAGAATTGGATGAAGAAGTCATCACGGAGCACATTTTTAGAGAAAATAGGCTAAAATTGAATCTAAATAAAAACATAAATTTCATCCAAATCTGTTATACAGTCCTTCGTTTATTGCGATGGATCCGTACCCTGAAGCCCCACGTTAAGTGAAAAACCGTGAAGTAGGAATAGTAGTACAAGTAGTAAGTAGTAGTTTATTTTAGTATTTATATATAAAATCATTTCAAACCTTTCCCACACTCGTGCAATATTCTAAACAATGTTTCTAAACTTTAAACACTCTAAAAAAGCACAGCACGTCATGATTTCAGCTCTCTGCCTCGGCTGCACTCTCGGCCACGCCCACTTATCAGCTCTGTGGGAGATCAGCTGATCAGCTGCAGGAGGAAACTACTCCCACATCTGTTAGCTGCACACTGGTGCTAAATCATTTAAAATAATGTATTTTAAATTAAAAATCCATGCCGAGCGTGCGGCTCATCCATCAATCAGCTATTGTGAGTCATGTCCGATCTTATTTTGAAAAACCACAATAGAACGAGTCCGCGAAAAACGAACAGCGAAGTAGCGAGGGACTACTGTATATTCACTTCCGTTCAGTAGTTATTGGTGAGTTTGTGCAGGAACTGTGTTGCAGATTGACTCCTCTGATTGTTCTCTTGGCGTCTTTCAGAGAAGGAATGGTGCTGAAGCGATCCGGCGGCCACAGAATTCCCGGGATGAACTGCTGCGGTCGCAGCAAGATGTGCTACCGCTGGTCCAAACGGTCAGTGAACACAGACACTGTCTCCATGGTACCGTCCGGTTCAGCTCCACTCTGCATTGTTTTCACTCTGATTAGACCCGTTCCAAATAATGCTTTTTAAATAAAGGTCTTGTGTGGTCTGTTTGTGTGTATGGAAAGCTGATGTTACATTTATTTGACAACCTTGATAACAAAAGTCATTTCGCCCTCGAGTTCAACATTTGGTCGCAATACTTCAGCGTTTTGGTGAAGTTGTTCAACAAACGTTCTTTAGATAACTAGTTGTCTAAGTAGATGGAGCAGAAGTCGTACTGGTCGACCATTTTGCTGCACTAGAAACCCAAAACTTCCTGTTAGTTGGGCTTTAAACACATCGGTCAACCATGGATTGAAGTATTTGTCTGAATGTTTCTAAATCATCATCATTATTGAGATCAGTTTTTCTTCTGTACGCCTTTTTTTTTTTTTTTGTACATTAACTCGTTCTGTTAATCGTCTTCTATTTCAACAATTCATGTCTCAAAACGTTCGGCTCATTCAGGATATTCCTGCTCTGACTTTTGGTATCTGTGCAATTTTTACTTTTTGGAAAGTTTGTCAGTTTGTCTCATTGAAAATGAATGGAGCTCTCTTCATCCTTAAACCCCCCTAAGCTGTTAACAACTTTTTACTGCTCATTTCAGCTTGTTTATGCTATTTTCAGCTTCCTTTAGCTCCTTTTAGCTTTTTTTCTGCTCATTTAATCTTTTTCCTACTGTTTTTTAGTTTTATTTCAGCTCCTTTTCATCTTTTTTCTTTTAATTTCAGCTTTTTTGTTCTTTCTGCTTTTCAAATTCCCTTTAGCTTCTTTCTGCTAATTTCAGCTTCTTTTAGCTAATTTCAGATTTTTGGCTACTTTCAGCTTTTATGTGCTCTTTTCAGCTTCGTTCGGCCTATTTCAGAATTATGTGTGTACTCGTCAGCCTCTGTTTTCATTTAAGCTTTTTGTGCCTTTTTTCAGCTACCTTCAGCAGCTAGTCTGCTAATTTTAGCTGTTTTGTGCTCTGATCATTTTCTTTCAGTTAATTTCAACTTGTTTATGCTCTTTCTGGATTTTTCTGCTAATTCATACTTTTTAAACTCCTTTCAGCTTTTTTTTTTTGTGTTGTTAATTTTAGAAAGTTTCTGCAGTTCTTAGCTTCTTTCAGCTACCTTTTTAAAAATAATTTCTGCTCTTTTGTCCTCTACCTTCCTTCTACATTTCGGCTATTGGTGTATTTCAAGCAAGCTTTAGCTTCTTCAGCAGCTTTCAGCTAAAATCGTCGAGCAACAAGCGCTGTACGTTCACAGGAAATTACATTTCTCTAGCTGACATCTGTCGTACAAGTTAACGAGTGAACATCAGAAATGGTTTCTTGGTAACTAGTGGACATAAACTGCGCACGACTTGAATGTTGTGACTTTTATCTAACTAGTCGTCTGTGAACAGTAAAACTGACCACACTTGTTATCAAGGATGTTCAATAAATACACAAACGTCTTGCCATACAACTCAGTGACCAGCAGACCAGATTTCATCTCAGTATCTGTGAAATTGGCCGAGTTTAACCATGTTTGTGCTTGTTATATTTTATTGGCTGTGGCGGCCATTTTGAGTTAGTTTGACTTCAGCAGGTAAACATTTGTACTAGTACATGAAAACAGTTTTAAGTAGAATCCTTGCATTGGTAACAAGATATTAAATCAACAGACTCGTGGTATTTGAAGTCAGCCTATTCAAGATGGCTGCCGCAGTCAAAAATGGCTCCACCTTGGTCATTTTTACAGATAATGAGCTGAAGGTTGTTGTGTTGGTAGCTGAAGGTCTTCCTCAACACCCACTCTGAGCTCCAGCTGATCGAATGAGACCTTTGTTCTAAACTTTGGCATGTAGACAGTGGGCGATTTGCATTTTGTTCTGGCTTAGGACAAAGTCGACTCTGAGCTCAGTCTCTGTGTGCGTGTGTGTGTTTTTGCGTGTGTGTGTGTGCAGCTGGCTGGTGGTGAAAGACTCGTTCTTGTTGTACATGAAGCCAGATTCTGGTGCCATCTCGTTCGTGATGCTGTTCGACAAAGAGTTCAGCATCAAGATGAACTTCAAAGACACCGAGACCAAACACGGGGTCCGCATCGACAGCCTCTCCAGGTCTGTGCACGCTGGTTTCTGGCTCCTGGGCGGGAGTTTGAAGCTGCGTCCCGTTGAGTTTCTGTTTGTTGAACTGCGTCTGCAACAGGTCGTTGGTGCTGAAGTGCAGCAGCTACAGACACGCCCGCTGGTGGGGTCAGGCAATCGAGGGCTTCGCCAAGAGGCACGGCGCCGCCTTCCTCACCGACCACCGCTTCGGCTCCTTCGCCATGGAGGAGGAGAACATCCCCGCCAAATGGTAACCTCAGCGCTCCACTCAACAGTTTCCTGTTGCCACGCCATTTTATTATGATTTAGGTGTGGAGATCCAGTAGACGTGAGGGTTTACACGCGGGTTTGGTGAAACTGATCCGGTTCTGAGAAGTTTAGACGAGTCCTGGTCCATCTGGCTGCAGGATTTAATGCTCCTCCTCCAGATGTAGGTGTTTGTCATGAGGATGGCTTAAAGGGCTACGCCTATACTCATAGAATCTGGGGTTACAGTACGTAACCAACGTTTGTGGATCCGTTTGAGGTTTTTGCCTTCAGTTGCGGTGGACAAAGTTAAGCAGATGCGTTGGACTCTGAACACGAGCTCAGATGTTTGTTTCTTGCTGCCGTAACCCGACACAAAGAGAGGGAAAGTGAGACTCACCTGCTCATCACCTGTCCTCCTGATGGGCAACATAATCCTGTCTGTGGGACAGGCGGAGGGAGTGAAAGGTGTGCGTGTGCATGTGTGTGTGTTGGTCTAAAACCAGGGAGAGAATCTGACTGAAAACCCTCAAAGTTATGTAAGGGCTTGAAGTGACACCACTTTGAAAGTAATGTTAGTTAACTTGTTTTCCTTCAAAATAAAAGCATAGCTGTGTTGCCCTGAAGCTAAAGGAAACATCTAAAGAGTTTATAAAAACAGCTGAAGTTTGTTCTGCGTCGTCTGCAGGTACGTAAACGGTAAAACTTACATGGAGGACGTCGCCGACGCTCTGGAAGAGGCCAAGACGGAGATCTTCATCACGGACTGGTGGTGAGTCGAGCTGCTTCCTGTCGACGGTCCGGTTCTGGAGCGGAGCGGGTGCAGGCCCGGGTCACCTCTCAGGGAGGTTTTCTGGTCCAGCGGATGGATTACAGCCTCAGGTTCAGACCGTCGTCTCCCTGACTAACAGAGCTGCCGGTCATTTTTATCACATTTATAAATTAAAATCGTCTGATTGAGTTGAAGAAAATGAAAAAATAGAATAAATACAGAGTTCTTTGACTGACAGGAAACGGTGTTTTCTTAAAGTTCAGGTTTTTCCTGTTTGGAAATTAAAAGCTGATGAACAAAATAAATTGTTCAGACTAAAAGAAGAATAAAGGACTTTAATAAATGTCTGGGTGGAAACGAAAAGAAAACTGACGACTGGACAGTAAAGTAGAAAACAAAAATATTAGAAATTTTCTTTAAAATTTTTTAAAAAGTTTTTATTTGTTTATATTTTTAGGTTAAGTGTTCTTTTATCTATTTTAATTATTTTTCCTCCATCTTCCTCTTCCTTATTTTGTTCCTCCTTTTTTCTCTTCCCATTTTCCTGTTTTGTCTTCATTTTACCGTTTGTTCTTTTCCATCTGTTTTTTCATCCTTTTCTCCTCATCTTCTGCCTCTTTCTCATCCTTTTTTGTTCCTCATTCTGATTTTCCTTTGTCTTCCTGCTCCTCCTTTTCTTTACTGCGCCTCACAGCGTCATGTTGTCTCCTCTTTTTGAGTCACTTTTCTTTCCTGTGTTCTGTTTCAGGCAAAATAAAAACTTGAGATAATAAAATAAAAAGAAAGATGCAGGAAACAAAAATCTACAGAAGCAGGAGGGAAAAAAGACAAGAAAATAAGAAAACAGGAGAAACTGAAGTTAAATCCTGAGGCTTAGTGAAGGAAAAAACACTAAATATTAAAGGTAAAAATCCAGTTTTTGTTCCAGTGTGACCCGTTCGCATTTGGTTCTGCAGGTTGAGTCCAGAAATCTTCTTGAAGAGGCCGGTGGTCGAAGGGAACCGGTGGCGTCTCGACTGCATCCTGAAGCGCAAAGCGGTGAGCGGGAAACGCTTGATACATTCTTTTTTATCAGAGGCTGACAGGAAACGTATCGAGCACTTAGCTACATTTAGCTCTCATTTACCTGCTTTGAAGTAGCATTTAGCTACTTTGAGGTAGCATTTATCTGTTCAGAGTTAGCATTAGCTATCATTTAGCTATTTTTATGTAGCATGTAACTAATTTCCGTTAGCATTTAGCGAGCATTCAGCTACTTTAATTACCATTTAGCTACTTTCAGGTAACATTTAGCTGCTCTGATTTAGCATTTAGCTATCATTTATCTACTTCTATGTAGCATTTAGCTACTTTTAGTTGGCATTTAGCTTCTTTTAGCTACTTAAAGGTAGCATTTAATTATGTTTAGTTAGCATTTAGCTACTTTGATTTAGCATTTAACTTTCATTTAGCTACTTTTATTTTGCATTAAGCTTATTTTAGCCACTTTAAGTTAGCATTTAATTATATTTAGTTAGCATTTAGCTACTTTGAGCTACTTTTATTTAGCATTAACTTTCATTTAGCTACTTTTAGTTGGCATTTAGCTGTCAATTAGCTACTTTTTGTTAGAATTTAACATTTCGCTACTTTTTGTTATCATTTAGTTACATTAAGCTATCATTTAGCTACACTGCGTAAGCATTTAGCCACTTTGAGTTATCATTTAGTTACATTAAGCTATCATTTAGCTACACTGAGTAAGCATTTAGCCACTTTGAGATAACATTTAGTTACATTTAGCTATCATTTAGCTACTTAGTCTGCATTAAGCTTTTTTAGCCATTTGAGTTGGTATTTAGCTATAATTTAGCTACTTTTAGTTAGCATTTATCATCTTTAGTTAGCTTTTATCAACATTTAGCTACCAAGTGTTTTGCTCCAGGAAAGTCATTCAGAGCACAGTTTTCTCTCAAGGTTTTGTTCGGGTGTGATGTTTGCAGAAACAAGGCGTTCGGATCTTTGTGATGCTCTACAAGGAGGTGGAGTTAGCTCTGGGGATCAACTCCGGCTACAGCAAGAGGACGCTGCTGAACCTCGACCACGAGAACATCCGGGTCAGTCCCTGTAGGTCCAACATACCTGGTCACTGACCCGCTTCCTGTCTGAACCGCTACCTTATTGTTCATCAGGTGATGCGCCACCCAGACCACGTCTCCTCCTCCGTCTACCTGTGGGCGCACCATGAGAAGATCATCGTGGTCGACCAATCGGTGGCCTTCGTGGGCGGGATCGACCTGGCGTATGGGCGCTGGGACGATAAGGAGCACCGGCTGACGGATGTGGGAAGCGTGACGCTGTCTCTCCAGGAGCAGGTCTTTCAACACACCTGATGTAGAATCAGTCACCTGTGTATCTAAACGTTAGCGTGCTAGCCTGAGTCAGTTTTCGCTCAGTGACGCCGTCTGACTGACTCCTGTGGTTTCCTGTTTTCAGGCTGCAGCTGCGTCTTCCACCACCGCCACCGCTCCGGCTAATGGCAGCAGCGCTGTTTCCCAGGGCAACATGGCCGGCGTTCTCACACCGACGGACTCAGCGGATCAGCCCAAGCTGAAGGGTCAGGGGAGGATGAAGCGGACCCGGTTCAGCATCAGGAGACACCTGCAGAAACACGGGCTGGCCCACGCCGACAGCGACAGCGACCTGGAGGAAGAGCAGCCGAGTGAGTCTGAGGTGCACTCTGTGTCGTCAGCCGGGGTCTGCAACCGACCAATTAAACTTTCCTGAAGCCTGAAATGAAAATAATCCAACGCCTTAGGTGTAAATAAATTCTACTTATAAAAACCCAACAGTTTTGTACGTTATAATAAGTTATTAATCTATATGTGCACGTGTTAGAATAATGAAACAAACCAAACACACTAAAAATCATGAATCAGCGTTGAACTTAAAAGGACACCAGTTCTTAGAAATGTTTTCACTCGCTCAAATTCTTTGGCATTTTGCTGTATTTTTTAGCTTTTACCAACTAATCTAATGCTTTTAGCTTCAAGCAACTACGCTAATCTTTTTAGCTACTATTCTGATACTTGGTTACCTTTCCAATAATTTTAACGATACAATTTTTATTCTTGTAACTTTTAGCTAACATTCCAATACGTTTAGCTACTATTCTGATACTTTTGTCTACCATACTGATACTTTTAGCTACCATTCTGATACCTTCAGCTACCTTTTTGATACTTAGCTATAATTTTGATTATTTTTCCTTTTAACTACCATTCTAATACTTTAAGCCACCATTCTGATACTATTAGCTTTTAGCTACTTCTTTGATACATTTAGCTAACATTCTGATACTTTTAGGTACCATACTAATACTTTTGGCTTTTGTTTTGATACCTTTAGCTTTTAGATGTTAGTTATCTTGCTGTTGTTTGTAGCAATTAGCTAATTTGTAGCTACTTGTAGCTCCAAGCTAACAAAACTTGTTCAATAGTTTTAACTGTTTATTTCAGTTCATTATTAGAAAAAATCTGTGAAATGAGTGAAAAACTTCCCTGATTTTGCCTTTAGCATCTTTCTTTGAATGTGTTAAAATGATATGGTAAGTTTCAGAGAAGTGACTATAACATGCTAACATGCTACTATCCTAATCAGTCTGTTTTACTTCCTGTATTGTTACTATAATTTGCTTAAATTTGGACAGAAAACTTGCCAGATCAGGCAGTTTTTATAAAAGTCATGAATATAAATATTTATTTTCATGTTATTTTTGTGGCCCCGGAGCCACAGGTTGCAGACCCCTGAAGCCTCCAGGATCCAGATGTTGTGTTGGGTTTAGTTTTGGAGTTTGATACGTTCCGTCCAACAAAAACAGCTTCTATCTTTGTCTTCTGAACGGTTTTGTTCAGGTCGGTCTCACGGCGTCAGCAGCCAGCACGGCCCGGAGCCGAGGGCGGCCGCTCCGGCTGGTGAGTCGGAACCACCGCCTGGACTCAGGGTGGTTCCTCCCCTCCTGTTTCCCAGCATGCTTTGCTGTGGATCTGACAACAACCTTTGGCTCTTTGCGTCAAAGGTTGAGCTTTGTGTTTCCAAACAGAATCGTTTGTCTCGGTTTGTTTGACAAACTAAAAATACAGCTTCTTTTCAGAAACTGACTTCCTTTGAAGGAATGCATATCACCCGCCATCTTGCATGCTAAAGTTTTCACCAAAACCTTTGCTTTGTTAGCGCTCAGAGCATGTGTTGGGGTGGCTTTCAGCTACCACCCCACCAAGTTTTAGCTCCATATCTGTAAAATTGACTGCTATAGCCATTTAAGTCTGATTAGCTGTGACGGCCATCTTTAATTATCTCGGCTTTGTACCCAATAACAGCTGTCAGAGAGTTTCATTCAAATCCATCCAGTGGTTCATGAGATATTTTGTTAACAGAGACCCACCTAGGTCTGTTAGTGCTTGGCCTATGTGATAGGGATGACTCTGCTACTACCACACCACACCTTCATTGTTGTCAAATCAACTGAGTTATAGTCATTTATTGTAGATAAGGTTATTTAGCCATGGCGACCATCTTGAATCACCCAATGGGCTGTTTGTTTTGGAGAATTTGCTAATTTAGTATCAATTTTATACGACTACATTACACATATCATCATAAAATAAGTACCTAACCCCAATATTTGTACCCCACTGTTTTTTGATACAAAAATGTTCTGTTGCTGTTGGAAATTATAAACAGACAAACAGCATTTTTATTTCCACTTTTATAAGCAAATTTATTAATAAGAGAAGGCACCATTTTAAATGTAGGAGAAATAAATATCCCTCTAAACTCAAACTTGATGGATAATCTTTCTAACTAATTGAAAGTTTCTTTACACAAATGGCTAAATGTTGAGATTTTAAGACTTAAAATACAGAAAAAAGGTGCTGACGTCTGTTAAATGTTGTAAAAAATCATAAATGAGTTGTTCTTTGTGACACTGCTTTGTATAGATTATACACAGACCTGTTAGCAATTCATTTATTTTAAAACAAATGTTTCTTTAGGCTCTCTCTGTCTGTGAAACTGATGTGATCCGTTTTTATTAGCCGCATGAAGCTGCTGTTTGTTTGTCAGGACCAGTTGCAGCTTAAACAGATTACAGTTAAAATGCAAATAAAATGAAAAATACGCTCATTTTACATCGTTGCTCTCTAATAAACAAGCACATCCAGTAACTGTTGGATCTGAATGTGTTTGTCCTGTTTGGATCTTTGGTTTATGAGCTGTCATCCTTCCAGCTTCTGTTTCATATCTTTATAAGTGCTGTTGAACAATTTCACAAACATCGTTTATTTAACCTGTCAGAGTTCGGCTGAGATATTTGGGCGACGACTATAAACGGACTGGAGATAATTAAAGGCCTTTATCTTTTGTTCGTTTCATTTAGCCTAAGTTTTAAATAATACTTTTTAAAAAATGGTTTATTAAAGACAAACAGAACTTGTTCTTTAATGTCACTAAATATATTTTTTTATATGCATTTAAAATGTAAAATATTTTGTTTTAATAAAAAATATGTGCTTTGTGGATTGTGCTTTAGAGTTTCAAATTAAATAATTTTAAATAGTGGAGTTTCAAAAAAAACAATGAATGGGTCAGTTTTAGAAAAATAAAAGATTTTCAAAAGTAAAAAAAATATTAGCTTATAAACACCTAAAGTGATAAGATACAACATTATGTAGTAGATATTACAATAAAATGACCTAATCAGACATTTTAGCTAAAACTGATCTTTTTGCTAAAATATGAGTTAACCGTTAGAAATGCCAAAGAAATACTTCCCAAAAATAGTTTGTACAGAGGTTAGATGAGTCGCTAAACATAATAAACACCTTATGAAGTAGTAAAATGGCTGCTTTAATTATTTTTGTTTGAAATGCCAAGCTAATGAAGATGAACAGCATGTTGGTTAACACTTAACAGGGGAGCAACACATCTATATACCCTACACAAGCTCCGCCCCTTTTTGGGTGAAAACTATCCCTCCACTTTAACTGGTGATAACTAAAACTCCTGATATGTTCACTATAATGTTATAAATAAGACCAAAATAGAAATTTGCTTTAAAGTTTTTAGTGCCCTGAATAAATGCAAGGTAAATATTTAATGTCTTGACAAAAAGCTGCCACAGTTCACCATTTAATCCCTCTCTGTGGCTGAACTGAAGCTATGGTTACATTTTTATTGACCCACTTTATTCAAAAAAGCAAACAAAAATGCAAATCTACAGTATTTCTAACTCTATTGATCAAAAACAAGACAAGGCACATAACCTCTAATATTTTTATGATGCTGCCACTTGCCAGTAGATTCATTTAGATTGTTTACACCCCCAAAAGAGGGCGGGGCCATTTGAAGGAGAAAGAAGTGACATCATGTTGGTTAGCTATCAGCAATAAAATATATTTGGCCAAAACTTTCAATAACTTAGGAAAATATTAACTTGTAATCAATTGAAATAAGAAGCAGTATGGATACTAGATACTCTGAAAAAATTATGCACAAGTATTTTAGTTATGAGGGTTAACAGTTGGCTAACACAGGCAAACCTGAAAATTTCAATGCTTACAGCACAAATTTGGTGTTTATCTCATATGTAGACTAACTGTGTCAATGGGTGCTAAAACAAAATTCTTACCATTTGAAAACATCATAAACCCCACTGACACAGGCCAATATACGTATCATAAAAAGAGCTACCTCAGTTGTTAGTTCATTACCTTAAAAATTGTTGTTGAATGTTCTATAACAGTTTAATCTACCAGCTTCAAAACTGATACCAGTTTGCAAAAGGCATATTTATGATATAATATTTTAGAGGAGTGGACTCACTGTTGTTCCAGTAACTTATTTCAACCTTCACTGTTAAATGATGATTGCAATGAGCACAAGGTTTTTGGTTTGTGAGGTCATGTGGATTATCAGCCCAAATTCCAGAAACCAGATAAAAAGTATCTGGTAGAAATGGTTTGATGTGATAATGGAAAGTGTTCTGCATTGTTCTGAGCAATAAATAGAAATCTAAATGTTTGTGTTTTAGCGAGCAGCTCTGTCCGAAGTCTTCATACGGGGGTCGGAGAGCTTTTTGGGAACACACGTTTCTGGCATGGGAAGGACTACTGTAACTTTGTGCACAAGGACTGGATCCAACTAGATAAACCTTTTGATGGTAGGCACACCGATAATGTTTCCGCAAATACAGGGAAAACATTTGTTTTAATTATTTTCTGTCCAATTTTCTGCTGTTTTAGATTTCATAGACAGACATACTACGCCCAGAATGCCTTGGCATGACATTGCCTCCGTGGTTCATGGAAGGGCAGCGCGAGACGTGGCGAGACACTTCATCCAACGGTGGAACTTCACCAAGGTAGGCTGTGTTTCAGAAACAAGAAACTGCCCACTTGGAAAGGTTTTTACAATTGGTATTTCATAGATATCCCCGATTAAAGAAAGCAATGACAAGATATATTATGTATAAACTGGTATGTATCTATGCTTTCATTCTTGTACTTGAACCCTCCGTTATGTACCTTTGTCATCTTCTTTTTACCAGCTTGTGAAGCCAAAATACCGCCCTCAGTCATTCCCTTATCTGCTGCCAAAGTCCCACACCACTGCCGGAGAGCAACAATATCAAGTTCCCGACTGCGTCAACGCAAAAGTGCAGGTTAGTTTAATCATTTTTATCGTTTTTACTAAAGTTTTGGTGTAATATACGAATACAACTTTTAAAATGGCCTAAACTTTGGTGACCAAAGTCAAAAAGATTATTTTCAATTTTGTCATTCCTACTTTTGTTAAATGGACCTCAGGTTTTCTGAACTAACTGCGCAACAGCTGGTGTTCTGTGGGTTAAAAACTTTTCCATATGTTGATATCTGTTCTAGTCCTACTGCCAAATTGTACCTGAGCAGCTTTGGTCCTTTTGCAACAATCCTTTTTTGGGTGCAAAAAGAAGTTGTCTGCAATAAATGTCTGCGTACCCACCTTGCCTACATTGTACCTGCCTTGTCACTGCTTTATAATTGTATTTTATTTATTATGAATAATATTATTTTGGTGTAAAGTGTCATTTATGCACAGCGACTAGGAGGTTATGTACGTCCCAGTGTAGATAATTTATTGTACTGGAGTATATGTTTGAAAATGTAATTCTATCATGAAAGTTTTTGACTGTGGAGAAAAAAAAATCCCAGCTGAATCCAGTGCAGCGTCTGGTGGATCCGACGCTTCTGTAGGGTCCTGGGATACATGCAGGGTCGTTTACAGTTACAGGCATTTGGTGAGTGCATACGTGTAAATGTGTAAAAGAAATGTACCTGACTGGTAAGGGATGACAACCACTGGGTACAAAATGCCAACTGCTGCACACAGAACCACCCTATGGATATGAAAGGACAACAGTTGGGTGTATAAAATATTTCCTGCTGAGAAGAAAATAACTACTCATGTGTACAAAAAAACAGTCTCTTTGGGTACAAAACTGTTAGGTGTACAAAATGGTAACTGCTAAAGATGAATGGCAATCTCTGAGGGTACAAAGTAACAACTAGAAGTTAGAAATTGACAACCACTGATTCCAAAATGGCAGCTAAGTACAAAATAGCAAACACTGGTACCAAAAAGGGGTACAGTATGGTAGATAATCAAACTGGCCAACACCTTTTGGTATTAAAGGACCAAAAGTGAAATAGATGATTCTTTCACCGACTTTTGAACATAAATGATGCCTTATTGGTAACCTCTGGTGTTCCTCAAGGGTTTGTACTCGAACAGGAAACTTCTTTTGTTGCACATGCTGCTCCTGGTGGACAGTTATGGGTTTTAAAGGAATATACTTTCACAAAATGTTCAGGTACATTGTCTTAAATACTTGAATATTGTCTCGTTCATGCAAGAGCGAGTTTTAGAATCGTCTCCATTAAGATTAAAACTTGTTTAACATCAAAAACTGTTTAAAAAACTGTTTTATTATGGTCAGATTTAAATTCTTGATATTTTTCACTTCAGATCCTTCGTTCTGCCTCCGACTGGTCTGCTGGCATCAAAAACCCAGAGGAGTCCATTCACCTCGCCTACGTCCACACCATCCAGAACAGCAAGCACTTCATCTACATCGAGGTTTATTTTTTTTTATTATTTCAGAAATCGGACATCAACAAAAGGATTGTCTTGAGCTGAGTCTTAGGTATTGGCTTGTGTTTACATTTTTCAAATATTGCCTGAATTGCTGAGTCAACTCCCAGAACTGAAGAAACCTTCAGAGAAACTGGGCGTGTGTGGTTTATGGACCAGTTTTAAAGCTGGCCCGGTTCAGCCTGTTCAGGTTGTGTAATGTTTCTGTAAAACCAATGGGACTGACGTTCAGGTGGGAAAAATCCACTAACGCTTGTTACTATCAAGGTGAAAAAAAGAGCGTCACAAATCTTCAGAATTCAGAAGAAAAGTGGAACAAAATGAGTTCTAAAGTTTTTTTTTTTTTTACATTTTATGTTTAAATAAATAAAAAACTAACCCTCCTGCTGCCCTGGGGTCAAAACGACCTGTTAAGCCATAATTTTAAAGCTGACGCTTCAGGGGTCATTTTGACCCAAGGGCAGCTGGAGGATTAAAGTCAAACTACTAAAAATTAAGTTTAAATTAAACTTCAAGACTGGTCCAAGGAAACAACTCCACTGGGCTCAAACTATTTATTCTTCTTGGTGAGGTTGTACTTTTACTCTCATTGTATTGAAATTATTCAGTACTGGGCACAGTTCTGCTAATCCGCTAGCAGCTAATAACGGATTAATATTTAGTGTAGCAGATTAGCGTTTTCGCTAACTTTAAGTCCGCTATCAAAATTCACAAGCTCGTTCCCGTCTGTTGTGGGCGTGTCTCAAAGAATCAGTTAGGCACGCTATTGGCTTTCCACGCATGCATGTGACAAGACATGATTGGTCGATGCAACTTCAACTGGAAAGAGATGAAGACGTGATGCAAACTGAGTGACAGTCGCCTTAGTGATTAACAGTTTAGCGTTAGCTTCAGCTAATTTTATTTACCTGTTTAGCGTTAGCAAAGCTCGTTTTTTTTAATTAGCGGAATATGGGTTAGCAAAGATGACTTCGTGGTTAGCTGTGCCCTCCACTGTTCTTAACGTAACAAACTGTTTCAACTTTAATTTGTTGATGTCAACAATATTGTCAACGTAACAGATTAAATCTAAATGTTTCAAATTTTATCTAAACATTTCAACTTTAATCTTGAGATTTTGACTTTAGCCTCAAAATTGCAGCAATAATCTTGACATTTCAACTTTAATCTGGACATGATTTAAATATCAAAAGGTCTTCTTCAATCCAGGAGCGCCACCATGTGGGGGGACCAGGGGGGTCAGTGCTCACCCCCCACTAAAACATTTTTGGGGGCCCCAATGATTCAGTCTCGATACATCAACATGAATCAACTTTTTTTTTAAACATTGACCTCAACATTTCGACTTGTCTAATTGTTTTTTACTTTAATGTCGACAACTTTAATCTCAACATTTTGACTTTAATGTTGAGATTTTTGCTGTAATCCTACCATTCTGACTTCTTTCTTGACATATTGACATTAATCTGGACACTTAATCTCAAAACTGGGCAACAAAAAGGAGGAGCAGAAGCTAAATATTATCCTGATTTAGTTCTGATGTTTGGGATCGTGGTTCTGTTGGACCCAACTGTGTCCCAGTTTCAACCACCCAGCTGCGGAGGTGAAGATGAAAAGCCTGGGGGTAGTCCTCCTCACTTTGTACCACAGCATGATGCTAACACCACCATGCCTGACAGGTGACTCCTCCAGACGTCCTTCTTGCCTTTGTGTCCTAACAGTTCAGTCTTTGCTCTGTCCAACCATCAAACTTTACTCCAGAAGACATTTGTCTCGTCCGTGAGGACATGCGAGCAGCGAACACTCAACAGTGTTTTCCACTTTACACAGGAAGTCAAACGAAGCAAAGAAACAAATATTTTCCGTCGTGTTTTGGTTTCTTTCAGAATCAGTTCTTCATCAGCTGCGCGGACAACAAGCACGTCTTCAACAAGATAGGAGACGCGATCGCAGAGCGCATCGTGCGAGCTTACAGGTATTGAATTCAGAATCTTGCGCTGTTCTCGTAAACTCACTCGGCGGGTGTGTGTTCACGTTTGAATAGTTTCCTCCTGTCTGGTGTTCTGACGCATGAAGCGCTCACATGGAAACAAACCGGACCTGGTTTCTGCCCGGACCTGGTTTCTGCTGGATGAACAGTAATTATAAATAACTCGTCTTTTCTCGGAGTTTGACGTGAAGGAAAACTTCAGGTGTTTCTGCAGAGAGAGAGTGGATCTGAGGAACGGGCTGCCGTAGTTCTGCAGCTCGGAGTTTGTAAGAGGGAGCGGAGATGCAAAGAGAACTTCTCTGTTTACTGGTCGATCTACATTCCTACCCTCACCTGTGGTCATGAACTCTGGGTAGTGACTGAAAGAACCAGATCCTGCATCTGGTCTGAAAGCGTTTTCTCTGCAGTGTAGCTGGACTCTCCCTCAGAGATGGGGTGAGGAGTTCAGTTCTCCAGGAGAGACTCTGAGTAGAACCACTGCTCCACCACCTGATGGAGGATGGATGGACCCTGGGGAGGGTCTCCAGGCATGTCCAACTGGAAGGAAACCCATGGGAACACTGGACCCAGGACACTCTGGAGAGACTGTCTCTCCACTGGTCTGGGAACACCTTGGAGTCCTCCCAGAAGCTGGGTACAAAGTGGTTTCCACAGATTATGAAATGAAAATTTCTAGATAGAAAGTGGCAAACTTCTATAAACAAAATGGCTACCACTGGGTACCAAATGAGGGTATAATATGGCAGAGAGTGACCAGAACCTGTTGGGTTCATAAAATAAATTATTCTTTCGCCAACTTTTAAATATAAATTATACCTCATAAGTTAAGTTTTGGTGTTCCTCAAGGGTTTGTACTCGAGCAGTATAATTTTTGTTTTTCCCATGCTGCTCCTGGGCACATATTGATGGATTTAAAAGGAATATAAATTCATTAAATTTTCAGGTACATTTATACAACTTATATACTTTAATCTTGTCTCGTTTGTGCAGGCGAGGGAGTTTTAGAAGCGCTGAGGTTTTTTGGTTATCCTGATTGATTTGTCAGAGCTCTCCATCATCTCTAGGGTTAAAATAGGCTTAACGTTAAAAGCTGGGTTAAAATCTAATTGTAGATTAAATTTTACCATGAGAAATAAAAGAACAAGTTTAGTTTTGACCAAAACAGTGACATTTTGTAAGTGTCAACTCTCAGTTTGTGTTTAGGATGATTCTCTGCTACTGCCATGTCAAATTTTAGCTCAATATCTGTAAATTCGACTAAGTTGTGTTGTTGCTAAGATTGATCAGCTGTGGTGACAATCTTGAACTACGGTAGTTTGATTTCAAAGGTCTGTCAGTTGTAGATGTTCATCCAGTGGTTTGATATATTTTGCTAACAGGCTATTACAAGATTGCTTGTTTTCCATGAGCTTTATTCACTTTAAACCAGAGTAGATGGCATCATTTCTGAGTTTTGCACTATTTTAAGTTTTATTTACAAATGCTTTTGTTTTTATTTTACACAGAACTTTAAAATTTTTTTGGAAATGGGTTTTTACCTATAGAACACAAGATCCCAACCAACAAAACTTCTGTCAAAAAAGGACAGTTTGTCTTTGTTTTTGAGGACTAAACACATCTTTAAGTGACGTTTTATGACAGGAAATGAGTCCAGACACCTAGTTTTATCTGAGTGTGTTTTGATGTATATTCTGTGTGTTTTTGTGTCCAGGGAAGGTAAAAAGTACCGTGTTTACGTGGTGACGCCTCTGCTGCCAGGCTTCGAGGGAGACATCAACACCGGAGGAGGCAGCGCCATCCAGGCCGTCATGCACTTCAACTACAGGTGGGTCCTGAGCCGGTCCTGGTTCTGATTTACGGCTCTCTGTGCCTGTGTTTGCTTCTACATGTTCTTCAAACACACTGTTCAGTGACGTCCTCCCGTCTCTGCAGGACCATGAACCGAGGAGAGTACTCCATCATCTCCCAGCTGAAGAGAGAAAGTGAGTCCGAGCTGAAGGAACCATGCTCAGTTCTTCAGAATCCACCTGGACTTTATTTATTTCACAGCAGTTATTGAGCTTGACTGCAAGGAGCCCAAACCATCAGCCCTCCACCCCCATGTTGACAGTAATTACAAAAATTAAAAGAGATCCAAAATTTTGTCCTACAATCACCTTGGTTGACATATATGCACAAATTTGAGCCAGATCAATTGAGTTCCCAAACGTGTCGACAGAAATCCAGTTCCGGAGTCACAGAAACTGAACTGAGGCCAGGTGCAGTTGTCCGCAACAACTCAGGGACTATTTTTTTTGGAGACACTGGCTTTAAAGTTCATGAGCTGATATGCTGTTTGCTGCGGTGCATTCTGGGTAACCGTCCCTTTGGTCTGGTTCTGTCCTAAAAGTCGTGGTTCCTTCAAATGAAATGTTCCAAACCCTGTAATGCTGCCATGTAGTTTTTAGAGATGAGAGGCCATGACCCTTGACTTCAGCTCACTTAGGCCTGTAGAGTCTGAGAATCTGAGCATTGCACAGTCTGACCTTAAGGGTGAATTTTTCTTCAGCAGTCTAGAGTGTTTCCCTTCTTTAGAGTGATGGACCCCAGATAGTTTAGAAATGACCTTTGACCTTCAGCCTGGTCACTGAGGCCTGTAGAGTTTGAGAATCTGAGCATTGCACAGTCTGACCTTAAGGGTGAATTTTTCTTAAGCAGTCTTGAGTGTTTCCCCTCTTTAGAGCGATGGACCCCAGATATTTTAGAAATTACATTTGACCCTCCAACATCTGCCTCTCTGATGTCATTGCTGATAGCTTTCCGTCTTGGCGTTGTGTTAACACACCTGTACGCTCCACAGCAGCAGACATTTTGTTGTTTGTTGAATAAATAACGACTCGGTGGAATCTGTTGTGCGTTTTTGTTCATGTTGGGTCAGATCAGAATAAATTTAGAACCTGATAGTTTTATTTAATTTTTTTGTCTCATGGGTCAGAAGAAACGTCTCCTTAGAGGATTTAGATGTTAGAAATGCTCTGCTGATCTTTCATCTTGTCCATTAACTTCAGATCCAGTTAGTTCTGCTTCAATGTTTCAACTTTTACAGCTGAAACTCAGATCACTTGTGATGTTTAAACTGATTTCTCTAAATTTGCCTCAAATCTGGTGGAATTCAGCCGTTTGCAGAGACAAACTCGGACATTTTCCAGTTAAACGAGTCAAACTAACCCTTTAAACTGCTGGTCCAAACCTGGAGTGTGACGTCTGGTTCTGGCTTCCAGTGGGAGATCAGTGGATGAACTACATCTCCATCGCCGGCCTGAGGACTCACGCTGAGCTGGGGGCGAAGCTGGTGACGGAGCTCATCTACGTCCACAGCAAGATGCTGATCGCCGACGACAACACCGTCATCATCGGTAAGCTCCGCCCTCAGAGCTGCAGCTGGAGGCGGTCCAGATCCAACATGGCTGACGGGAGGCGCAGCAGCGCTCCCTGTCCTCTGTCCTCTGACGTGTCCTGTTTGTCCCTGCAGGGTCGGCCAACATCAACGACCGCAGCATGCTGGGGAAGAGGGACAGCGAGGTGGCCGTGATCGTGGAGGACTCGGAGACGCTGGACTCTGTGATGGACGGGCAGCCGTACCGGGCGGGGAAATACGCCCTGCAGCTCCGCCTCGAGTGCTTCAAGTAAACAAACATGTTTTTGTTTACAGAAACTGATTTTTAAAGGAGGGGGCTTCAAGCAAGAACTAAAAGATCAAAGCAGGTTTAAGGATCCTTCTGCGTGTTTTTTTAAGCTCTTTACTTCAGCATGTTTTCAGCTGTTTCAGCCATTCAGGCATCAAAACGTTCGGCACATTCAGGACTTTACAGCTAGGAGGTTTAGTTTTTGTGACTTTTATACTATTAAAATTATTTACCTTTATTTTATTTATTTTTTCATAGTCGTTGAGATTTTTTACAAATCTTTACAGAACTGTTTTTTAGCGTTTAGCTTTTAGCTACTTTTGTACAGACTTTTAGTCTATAAATCACAAGAGGTGCTGTTTTTATTTGGTCTTTGCAGATTTAATTTGTTGTTTTTTGGATTTTACTACGTCCTCTGGTGTCCCCTGGTGTCTCACCTGTCTCCTGTCCTCCCTGTCCTCTGTCAGGATAATCCTCGGGGCGAACACCGACACGTCCATCGATGTCTCTGATCCGATCAGTGAACAATTCTACAAAGAGGTCTGGATGGCCACAAGCGCTCGCAACGCCTCCATCTACCAGAAGGTGACGCTGACGTTAAGATGTCGTGATTGATTGATTGATTGATTGATTGATTGATTGATTGATTGATTGATTGATTGATTGATTGAGCCTGTGGATGTTTTAGTTTAGTGAAGAATTTGTTGCAAAAATGTGGAAATGTTTTTGAAACTTTCCACGGGGAGCTGAGCAGGACGGTTTTTGGAAATATTCCAAATCAGAAACTTTTCATGTGAATTTAAATTACCTGGAAATTTGTGGTAATTTAAACAAACTGTATCATATCCATTCCAAACGATATATAAACTTTTTATTTTCACGAGACAGAAAATATCGTTTAATTTCCTCAACTGACAACCAAACTATTTTCATGTTGTTTGATCATTATTTAGACTTTCTCTGTTGTTTTGTTTACAGAAAAAATGAAAAAATGAAATTAATTATTATAACATTATTATTAAACTGAATTTCACAACAAAAGTATTTACAACTCTGAACTAAACTTTGTACATGTTTCAATTTTCATCTGTCCCTTTTTGTCTCATCTGTCTTTTCATGTTTCATCTGTCCGTTTGTCTCATCTGACCCTTTTTGTCTCATCTGTCCCTTTGTGTCCCTGCTGTCCCTTTTTGTCTCATCTGTCTTTTTATGTCTCATTTGGGTTTTTTTTATGTCTCATCTGTTTTTTTATGCCTCATTTGTCTTTATGTCTCATCTGTCCATTTGTGTCCCAGCTGTCCCTTTGTGTCCCAGCTGTCCCTTTTTGTCTCATCGGTCATTTTATGTCTCATTTGTTTTTTAATGTCTCGTCTGTCTTTTTATGTCTCATCTGTCCCTTTGTGTCCCAGCTGTCCCTTTTTGTCTCATCAGTCCTTTTATGTCTCATTTGTCTTTTTATGGCTCATCGGTCCCTTTATGTCCCATCTGTCCCTTTGTCTAAACTGTCCCTTTATATCTCATCTCTTTTTTTATGTCCCTCTTGGTCCCGACATGTCCTTCTGTCCTTTTATGTCTCATATGTCCCTCTACATGTCTAGGTGAAGGTTTATCAGTTTTAGGACAGGGTTCCTCCCGTTTTTCGGTATGTCACTGAAATCCGGTAGTTTTAGTCAAAATTACATAAAAATATTTTCTCGACTATAATTTTTAACTAACCTTCAGTTTGAGTCCAGTTTTATTCCTGTTCTTCAAAAAGAAACCTTTCAAACTGAAATCTCTCTGAGTTTTGCAGCCCGTTTTCACGCAGCAGATGTTTGTTTGAGGCTTACTTTCTAGTCTGCGCTTCTGTCTTTCTGTCTTATTAAGAGTTCTGTTGGAGTGACAGACACGTGCATGGTTACCATGGTGACCATTCTGAGACAGCAGCGGCTACTGTTTCAGCGGCGTTTCCTTTTATTATGTTTCTTTTCACTCTTCTTCAGGTTATACTATAAAATGTCGGCCATTTTGTTTGTTTAAATGATTAGAAAAATAGAGTCCTGACTTCCTGTCGGGCTTTAAGGAAGAATGTTCTTTTTTTTTTTCTTCTCTCCAGATTTTCCGGTGTCTGCCGTCCAGCGATGTCCGGAGCATCTCGGAGCTGGAGGGCTACCTGTCCAAACCGGCGCTGGTCCGAGAAGACCCGGCTCGAGCTCGCGAGGAGCTGAAGAAGATCCGTGGCTTCCTGGTCCAGTTCCCTCTTCAGTTCCTGAGAGAGCAGAACCTTCTTCCTCCCCTCGGCTCCAAGGAGGCCATGGTCCCCACGGAGGTCTGGACCTGAGGACTCTGGACTTTGATTAGGACTTGTACGTTTTTATTTGTTGTTTTTGGAAGGGACTTGTGTTACTTTGCCCTGAACTGAGACTTGAAGGTTGTTTTCCTCTGGCTGTGGTCAGATGATGGCAGGAGGTCCGAGTGGTTTGTTCAGATTTACTCGCCAGAACCTGCCTGAGATCCAGTCCGAGTCAGGAATCTTTCTGTGTTCAGAGCAAAACCAGAAACCCTGATGGATTTAAACCCTCAACCAGGAGAATAAGCTCCAAACTCGCTGAAGGAGGCGGATTTGTCTTATCTGTGCCAAAATGAAACCTGAGCTGTGAAACTGGCTTCATAAGTGGTTTTCTGACCCACAGACGGATCGGGTCGACTTTCAGCAGCACTCTTAGGGAGAACTCTGCCTGCAAGGTAAAGCCCAGGGTTTAAAAACCCTTTCTCACACTTCAGTCTAGACCAAGAAGGAGCTTCAGCTTCTTGCTGTTACTCTGAAAATCTTTACATCAGATTAATGAGTGTTTGGTATTTTATTCTTGGACGATTCAAAGGAAACAATTTAACTAACGAGCCGACGACTGGGGTCAGAAGTTTACATACACCTCCAACGACAGGAAGTTAGTTTTACGTTTAATCATGTATTTGAGCTGTTCTGTTTCCAGGGTGGAACAGTTCTACACCAAACACCTTCTGGGGGTTTTAAAACAAGCTTGAGTTCATTGTGGATTTTCTCTGATCCACATGGGACCAAATGACACATACAGGCTCAGAATTATACATACACCGCCTCTAATGTTTGGTTAAATGTCCCTCAGCTGATCTCACCTGGACCTCAGGCTTTGGGTCTCCATCTAAAGGCTCCTGGCTGATATCTAAGTACTCTTCTTCTTCTCAGTAGAACTGGTGGAGTTCAGTTAAACTGGCTGGTTTCCTGAAACGGACCGAGCTTTTCAATAAACTGTTCATCAAGTTAAGGTCAGGAGTTTTGGGGAGGCTGTTCCAGAAGTCAACATAGTGACATTAATCTAATCATTTGGACTTTAATTAAATTTTAATCTCTATTCTGGAGAAACAACAACAAAAATGTCGCTTCAGGTGCTTCAAGTCAGCCTGTCTGATCCCATCAGAAACCAGTTCTGGAGTCTGTGTGGGATCGTTGTCTTCTTGAACCCAACTGGTTCCAGGTTTCAACCGTCCAGCTGCTGATTTCAGGTAAAACTGAAGAATCTGGAGGTAGACTCCCTGAACCAGGACAGCATGATGCCACCATGCTATTGGAAGCATGGTGGTCTACATGCAAACCCGTGATGAGTGGATCCAGATGTGACGTTTGGGGACATTTCCTCAGACCAAACCTGTCTCCAGAAGACATTTGTCCTGTCCATGTGGACGGCTGCAGGTTTGTCCAGCCTGAAGGTTTTGGAGTGTCTTTGTTGATCCTCCTGGTCCAAGTGTCTTCACGGTGGACAGGTGCTCCTGCAGATTCCTGGATTCTTCCTGAACATCTGGATCCATTTCCTTCCATCTGAGGGGGACAGCTGTGGGCTGGTCCAGTCAGGGCTGTCAAACGAATCCTTTTTCTGCTGGCAAAGATAATCTACCAGCTTCAGTCGATCGTGATCCTAACAGGAAGTTAGTAGACACTGGCCTTGTCAAAATAAGACTTTCTATGATCTTCAGCACCATTTTTAAACATATTTACAGGAGGTGACTGTATGAATTTGAGCCAGTTTGTTTAAATCAGAGAAAATCCACAATAATTTCAAACTTTTTTAAAAACTATTAAAGTTGTACGTTTTGTAATCGTTCCACACTCTTAAAAAAAGGATCAAATCAGTGATTAAAGGACCCAAATTAATGATGTTTGGATGGAAACTTGGCTGTTTGTTGTCTTCAGAGAAGATGGAGGTATCCAGGTCTTTTTATTTTATCACCATAGATTAAAAACATTTGTCTTCATCCAATCAGGTTCCTGTCTGCAGGAACGATCCATCCATTGTGGCCTCAGCTGCACCAAATAACACCTTCTGGGATCAGACGTTTGTTTTCTTTAAAGCTCGACCAGCAGAGCGTTGGACTGAACAGTGCCTGAAACTCTGCTCCTGGTTTCAGGATGAAGGAAGTTCATTATAATGAGACTGTTCGTCTGCAGCCTCTTCTAAAAACACTATGCTACACCCGGGGCCGGGGAACGCAACCCTAATGCACTAAATGGATAAAACCAGCAGCGCTCTGAAGAGGATGAAGAACCGAACCGTGTCTCTAATGACCCTGACGTCAAACGTGCCAAATAAAGCCCGGCTCAGAGCCTGATGTTAGAACTAGATTCACATTCCTGACGCCTTAAATGACCCGGTTCATACTGTGATATGCTTTGATGTTCCACAAGAAGGTCTTCTTTACAATCTTCTGAAAGGAACAACGCTATTTTGTACCCGTCACCCTAAAAACAACTCATTTTTCACCTGAGCGAATAATATTATTCTGCATGCATTTAAAAATCTGCGGATTCTTGTTCCTTCTGGGAAACTATAAGAGTTACTTATTTTCTACGATTGCATGATCCCAGAGCTGCATTTTCCTGTCAGAAAATTAAAGGTTCTGTTAAAAAGTGATGTTTGTTTGGATTGTGAAGCAGCTGCTGGGGCTTTTAAAGCTGCGCTGCATTTTCTGGCCTCTATATGGCAGCGGAGCGACAAAAAAAACGGGACGTTTTAAGCGCTTCGAGGGCGTGTCTTGGTTGAAGTTCTGCAGAAATGGTGCCTGTTCATACAGGTAAACGTGCAATATTTATGTTTATTTTCAGGAATTATTGGTCCAGAAATTTGACTCCGAACTCAAAAATTGTGTCCAGACTGATTCAGACTTCTTGATAACTCGGATAATTTTGACATTTATGGTGCTAGCTTTATCTTTAAAGATACAAATAAAACACTGCCACATTTTCTTGCTTTACTTTCTAATGGCCTCCCAATAATTCTCCTTTATAATAATAATAATAATAATAATAGTTTTATTTAAAAAGCACCTTTCAGGACAACCAAGGTCACTTTACAGCAAGAAACCAATAAGATTGTGTAAAAACAAACACAGTGCAAAGACCAACAGGCATAAATTAAAATATAAAATACATAAAACAAAGTTAAGAAGGATAAGCTAGTCTAAAGAGATGTTTTCAGAGTACAGTAGCCTTGAATAGAGAAAGAGAGGTGTTGTTTCATAGGTCTGGTGGTAGAGAGTTCCAGAGGTGAGGGGCAGAGCAGGTGAAGGCCCTGCTCCCCATGGTGGAGAGGCGGGCAGAGGGTACATGGACGTTTCGCAAAGAGGAGGATCTGAGAGAGCAAGAGGGGATGGAGATGTGTAGGAGGTCAGATAGGTAAGGAGGGGCAAGATTATGTATAGCTTTGAAGTGAGAAGAACTTTGAAGACGATGCGCGATTTAGCCAGTGGAGCTGCTGCAGGACTGGAGTGATGTGGTTATAGGAGGAGGTTTGAGTGATGACACGGACAGCTGAGTTCTGGACCAATTGCAGCTTTTGAAGAGATTTGTTGGGGAGGCCATAAAGAAGGGAGTTGCAGTAGTCGATTTGGGAAGTCACAAGACTGTAAACAAGGATGGCTGTGGAGCGGGGTGTGAGAGAAGGGCGGAGGTGGTTAATATTTCAGAGATGTAAATAGGCAGACTGAGTAACATTGTTGATGTGTGAAGTAAAGGAGAGAGTGGTGTCGAGGATGACGCTGAGACTCTTGACCTGAGACGAGGGGAATAGCAGAGAGTTTGTTAAGGGGGATGAGGAGATGTTCTGATTTTGAAATAGAGTTTTTGGTACCAACAAGGATGATTTTTGTTTTATCACTGTTTAGTAGAAGGAAATTGTTAGAAAATCAGTGACTGAGCTCATTGAGACAGTCGGTGAGGATGGAGGGTGGGTGAGTGGAGTTTGGTTTGGTTGACAAGTAGAGGTGTGTGTCATCAGCATAACGGTGGAAATAAACGCCAAATTTGCAGAAGATGTGACCTAGAGGAAGGAGGTAAATGATAAAGAGGAGTGGTCTGAAGACAGAGCCTTGGGGCACACCCGTGGAGACGGGAGAAGAACGGAAGGACTTGAGCTGAGCGAATTGAGTGTGGTCAGAGAGATAAGATTTGAACTAGTCTAATGGAGAACCTGATGTGTCATTGGAGATTAGTCTGTCGAGGAGGATAGAATGACAGATTGTGTCGAAGGCAGAACTTAGGTCATGTAGAATGAGGTTGGACAGAAGACCAGAGTCAGCAACAAGAAGAAGGTCATTAGTTGTTTTTATTAGAGTTGTTTCGGTGTTATGGTTGGGGCGAAAGATTAATTTAGCTGATAACAAGGTTTTTCTAACTTTTTAGCTGCTAGTTAAAAGTCATCAAACGTAATCTTTCAGCTGACTTAAATCAGAAAATTGCGATGAAGCAGCAGCACATACAGGTAATAAATGTGTTAAAGTCATGTCACTAACTTCTGATACCTTCAGCAGTTTTTATCTTTCAGCTCAGAACTTTACTGTGATGCTGATTAAACTCATCACTCTCTATTAAAAAAAACTATTTATTTTGCTCAAATGTTCAAGTTTTCAGGGTTGCTGATCACATTTTTTTGTCTGTTTTAAACGTGCAGCTTGTTTCTTCTGCCCCCTGGTGGCCAGAAAATGCTCCTCCACTGCAGTAATTTGAATCAGTATCAAATGCAGTATGTATCTTTGTGGATGTCCTTTGATGCATGAATCCGACAGCATGGCGGCTCTTAAATGTTCCAGATGAACGCATGAATCCTGCAGCTGATCCGTTTCCTTCAGACTGTTACTGAAGCCTAACGATGTGCCTGCACCTGTTGATGTTTATGGAAGGGGGGCCTTAAATGTCTTGTACTTCTTTACCTCTCTGAGGAGTCTCTGGGCTGCAGAAGTTGAAACACTCTTTAATCGCTGGTTCCTTTTTGAAAATGCACTTTTTGCACAGGCTGCTGCTGCACTTTTGGT